TCTGCTACCCGGCACAAAGAAAAGAACTAGTTTGGGGCGTCGCCCTGACCAAGATATCAGCTGGGCGAACCTGTGGATCATCAGGCAAAAGATTCAAAGGCTCCAATTGGGGCGTTACTCCTGCGGCACGAGCCACTCGGAAAACACTATCGCGGAGCGTGGTGTGCATGAGTTGTTTGTATCCTTGACCCATACATGCCAAGACATGGTGGCCTTGAGGATCCATCGGCTGTTGGCAACAAGAACAATTACCGAAACCATCAAATATAGCAAGCCCCAATCGTAAACCTATCGCATCCCGAAATGCGGGATCGGGCAAAAGGGTGTCCTGTGTCATCCCCGGATTCTGATGCAGCCACGCGTCCACGCCTTTAGCCGCTACCGCGCGCAAACGCGCCCTTCCTGAACAAGCCGCTTGATCAAGAAGCGCCTGCGTCGTTTTCTGATACACAGGCTCTAAACATTCTACTTGTCGCAATTTCTGGATAGGGGATGGCCAAGATGTCCCAGTCGGAGCACAATGCACTGATAGATGCTGAATCGCCAATTGTTCATCAGCACACGGCCCGCGCACATGACCCTCCGGCCAGCCACGAGCTCGGAACATTGTCTTCTCATCACATAAGACAGATCCGATATGTGAACAACTTGCATGCCTATTTCAACGCGCGAAGAAGTCAAGCCAAGACCCCCACGATTGAGGGGAAGTTTAGCCTGTGTCCACTGCTGCTGGGACAAGACCGATCCTAACATATGCTCAAGCACCCGACGGGGACGATCATGACAATACTCTAATAAAATTCGTAATTGTCGACGTGGCATAGTACGACACCAATATTGAGTCTTGTTATAAGAGACCCCGTGCCGAAGCAAACTGAATGCCACATGTGCATGAGGCAAACGTTCCAATGCATGAAATAATTTCTCCATCTCTCCCTGTTTCTCTTCCTGGAAGGATTGGAGGAAATCCGTATTCTCACTGATGGGCGTTTTGAGCATGAGGACATCCGCGCCCGTGACCACACGGTACCCAAAGATTGGAATCGCGATACGTCCCCCCGGAAGCGCTCCCCCGCCAACGAGTACAAAGTACATTTACGCGGATCCACATGCAGCCCATACGCGTCGGCCAGTTGGAGTTCTTGTCGGAATTGTTCCCAAACTTCATCAACCGAACCCCCACTAACGCTATCATCCGCGAAAGCAGGCGAAAACCCCGGGGGTGGGCGAGGATTGTTACGCCGGGCCTCCTCAACCAAACGACAATGCGACAAGCAAAAAAGGGGCGCCATGAGCGGACATCCCTGCTGACCCCGTGCGCATTCCATTGATTCTCCTTGGTATGCCAAACGAGACGGGGTCCCGTAACAATACTCAGCAAATCGTGCCGAGGCCGGAGCACACGTTGCCGCATCTTGCAAGAATTGAGCAGGCAAAAACGTATTAAACACATTGGAGATATCAGTTTGCAACAACACACAATCCGGTTGGTGCCGATTTGACGCCAACCATTCGCGAGTCGCGTGTAATATTGCTTCAGCCCCACACGCGACACCCACAGCCATTTGGTCGGGGAGCAAACGTTCCCTTAGCCTTATCCATTTGCAAGGTGCACTTGAAAACAAGCTTGCGCCAAGTCAAGCCCATAACAATGGGACGAGCATCAGCAGTCAAAGCAATTGGACGTCCGAGGCTATCGTGTTTACCCACCCCGATCAGCTGCCCACCTGCAAGCCAAGGCCTAAGATAGGTCGGAGCCAATCCATCCCCCAAGAGCTGGGCGAAATCCCGCATATGCAAAAGCACTGGGTCGTCTTCCGAGTCGCCAATCATGGACTTCAAGAACTCGGCACGTAATCCATCTGGCTCTGGCCCCACCCCCACAGCGAAAGAACGAAGAATGCGGAGAAAAACATCCATTTCGATATGTCCTGGGGGCGCTGCCGAGTGACGACCAACAACTTCTCGCCCAAGTGGAATGGCTGAGAACTTAGCCAACAGAGCAGCTCGAACCGCCGGAGTGTCTGACGCCAATCCCAAAGACGTGAGGCGGTGCAAAGCCTGCGATATCCTTCCTAGGCCGACCAGGCGTTCAATCTCCCGCACTTTAAATGCCCACTCTTCCTCGGGAGAACGTGAGTTTCTCCGCAAGCCTGGAACCTTACGACCCTCAATGGCCTCGCGCCACAAGCCCGCCCTTTCCCCCGATCGCCACCGGAGTAGCAAGGTCTTAGTGAAGTGGAGTGCTTGGTCCGACCTTTGACCTCGCTTGAACTGTCTTAGGGTGCATTTAGGGAATTAATAAGGCTAGCCATGCTTCACGGGCTCTGCGGTGGGCTTCCGTATCCTGGATGCCCCGACCACCCTGTTCAACAGGCAAAGGGTCCCACACATCGATACGACTGCTGGCCAGAACTGCAGCCAGGAGTTTCACGTATTCGGCTTTAGCCAAAAGGACAAGAACTTGGGGGGATATAGTCTTTGGTACGCACATGGGTGAGGAAAATATCTTCAAGGGATGGCCAAACCTCATTCTCATTGTCAGATTGAGACATCACTGCAGAAATTATCCCGCCTTGCGTATCGCGGTGATTGTATTTCCAACAGCTAGGGTGTACTCCGCCATGCACTCGAACAGAAATAGACCGTCCACAAACCCGACAACAAGTCAAACCATTGGCTTCAAACCAAGACGCAGGCGGGCGGCCTCCAAGTTCCCCGCCCAAGTGCATGTCGACATGAGCGCGCATGGCTTGAAAGCTTCTCCACCCCGGTCGGTCGCCCGAGGTGTGTCGACTACAACCCGCAACAAGACACGCAAAGGATTCAGCAACCCGGCTGGTGTGGGGCCGACACGGTCCAGCCTCCAATTCCAGGAGCTCCTCTGGCGAGAGATCCTCGCCGAAAAGATGCCTGAGCATGGTGTCGGCGGCGTGCTCGGGAGCAGCATCGACTTTGCATAGGTACTACATCTGGGAAAGCTGGGAAAAGGTAGGTATAGAGTTGCAGACAAAGCAGCGTTCGTACGGACACCACGTGATGGGATGGGTCATAACAAACACACTCAAAGCCGACAACAACCGACACTAACCTAAAGGACGATGCAAGCGTGCCCACCGTGCTCCAAGGACCGCCAAGAAGCCCAGAAGTGAGATCCAGTCACGACACGGCTGAGCTAGGAACATGCTGACCGTGACTCCCCAACCCTTGCTCTCCAAGATCATTTCGAATAATTCCAAGATGCCCTTGCATATCGAAATCAAAGATTCATATCCAATGCGCAGAAATCGGATCCCTTCATGCTCACAACGACTCCCGAGAGATCCCGATCCTCCCTGGGCTCCGACCGCAGAGGCTGCGCAGCTCCGCAGATGGAATAAATAAAACAACGACGCAGGGGTAGTTACAGCGCCAAGATCTCTTTTGGTACAACAAAGTCTCGGCTCACTACGAGATTCTCGTACATACCATCTACAGCCTTCATTTCCAATTCCTGAAACACACAGACACAACAAAATGCCGACGAGGCCCCACGATGACGGTTTGGGTCGCTTAGCGTGCATCCCACACAGGCACCACGGCAGTTCCAGGACGCTGTGGCCGCTCAGCTGCTACCCATGGCTCAAGGTGTTGGTTATATTATCATATTCAGATTGACTTGTAAAGCCAAGTGGATCGATGGAAGACTTGGAATTATTCCTAATCTTTCTTCAGATATTCTTTTATTCAATATTATAATCATCGATTCTATTTCTCTTCGATTTGGATTGGATAATCTGGATAGTAATGGGATATATCCCTTCTATATATATAAATTCTCGATATTTTGGACCATCATAATATGATTAAAAAGCAAGAGCTTGGTGGGCTCATATATTTTTCTTCATATGATATAATTTTTAGGATTTCACGAGAAATGGGAATTCGGTCCAAATTCGTATTTGAGAGTCTCTTGCCGAACGCCGAGAAACGTCGCCGGGCGGATGGATGTTTTACTCAGACCATTACAATATTATGTTGGATTCGTCCTTGTGAAAGTGGTTCAAGTGGCTTCTACGTCCGAAAAAAATTACAAATTTTTGAGATTCCAAATTTTTTGTGAGATAAGGTTCACATGGTTTTTGCATCCAAAAAATACTCATGAACAATAGAAAACGAGGAACCGAGACTAAAAAACCAAAAAACATTTTTTTCTTCGACCCCACCCTCTCTTGGTAGGATACTCTGGGGTGGGGCACTCCAGGGACACTCTGGGGCTGGGCACTCTGGGAACAATCCAGAGCAACTCTCCGGGGACCGGGAGAGAAACAGAAAAGAGAGGTTGGTCGACCTCCTGCCTCTCACTTGTTTGGGGTTTAGGGTTTAATGGTGTAGGGTTTAGGGTGGGTTTTCATTGATTCGGGTCTCTATTTGGGCTTGACGTTCGTTCAGGGGCTTTAGGTTTATATGCAAAACTGGGTTCAGAGTTTTTGGCCCTGGATGCAAAACGGCTTGCGGGCTAACAGTTTATGGGGCTTAGGGTTCAGGCCCCGCCTGTTTCCCGGAACGCTCGTCTTGAAAGGGCGATGGCCGGTGAGCATTGTTGCCTTTGTTTTCGGGCTTGGTTCGAGTACCGTGGGTGGAAGGGTTTGGGGGTGTATAAGGGTTTAGGGTTTAGGGTTTAAGGTTTAGGGCTATAGGTTTCAGGAGTTCATTCTTGGGTCCAACACTCCGGGACACTGGGGTTTGGCACTCCAAGGAGACTCTGGGCTTGGCCGCCCCACACGAGTTGGACACTTGGGGGCACTCGAGGCATGAGGAGTAGACCGGGCGAGGAGAAGAGTTGAGTTTAAAAGCTAAGAGCCCCACACCCAGGGTGGGGAACAATCATTTCGTACTCTGAAAGATACTTCGACGTACTCCACCACCACCCCCAATGAACGAGGCATCTCCCAGTCTCCCGGCCTACTTACCTACCTATCGACATCTCTTAGCCTCCGCCTGTGCTGCCGCCAGCTTTTTCACTCCAGCTGAAGTTCTGGAGGCAGCGATTGTTCGTAGACGCCCACGACTGTCGGTTCTTCATAATCATCCACAATACCGACATACAGCGACCTGCCATGAACAAGAAGCGCCACAGGGTGCAATGAATCCGGGCACTGCAGGACTTGGCTGGGAGATGTCTCTCCTGGACGGAAAGCGAACACCTCCCCAGAATCATGATCGAAAGCATAGATGGTACCACCTTCAGTTACAACGAGGCCCCATAGCCTTAGAATGCCCTCTGCATTTGGGATCTGTCCTACCACCGTAGGTTCCAGCGACTCAGCTGGATTGATGCGTAGAATCCGATCCCGATGACTCACACCATCAATGAGGCTCACGCCATCAATGATATAGATCACCTCATCCTTGGTTACAAAAATTGCCTCCGCCTTAAACTGCAGGTCTTTCGGAAGACTCTCAGAGGCAATCACAGTCTGGATCGTCGAGCCCACCAACTTCTGCACTTGACTGGGCCCGACACCGCGTCCCACCAACCAATACAGCACGCCATTCGGCGAGCAGGACAGACCTCCAGGAGAGTAAATACCGCCACAGACCAAATGTCCGCAGCCGTCTTGAAATCGAACAAGTCTGCTGTGATCGTAATCCAGGACGAAAATCTCCCCGCTGGGAGAGACAGAAACGTCACAAGAAGAGCCCAGATCATTGATTCCTTGTGTTCCCACGCCCTCACCCACAACCTTTCGCACGCTTGTCGCTGGATCACCAGGGTGCCAACAAAGGACGTTACCTTCAAAGTCAGTGGCATAGATGTGACCTTCGTGCCAGGCCAGGGAGTGGCACTGTATGGGCAACACTTCTCGCCAGCAAGCTTCAGCACTGGCACCCAAATCCGGTGACCAATGCTTGAGACACCGCCTCTTTGGCTGAAAGTCATGTGAATTTGGGGTATGTTGAGCTCGCTTCCGTTGCCGATTCTGCAAAGCTTCATCCACGTTTCGGTGCAGTTCCTCGGCAGTTGGGCCGGATAGAGTGAAGCGGCCGATTCGAAGCAAATTCTCAACAGAGAAGGATTCGAAGTCCACATGTTGCAGCAGGATGCCCAAGAAGCCATGCCTGTCTTTAGAGAAACTGAACCAATTGAAGATACCCTTGAGCACCACCTCCTCCCGAGACACGTTTAAATCTTCTCTTTTCAGAATCCGAGCCAGCTGAACCGCGCTTATCTTCCCAAAGTCTGGGTGCTGGCTACAAGCCTCAAACGACCTCGCAATTTTCTCTTCACATGTGGCTTTCAAACCACGCAGGCCGTGCGTCTCTTGCAGAATTCGCAAGGCTTTCACTCCATCCAAGGAGACACGCAGGCCCGCCTCGATAGCACTCGCCAACTTTGGCAAGTCATAAGCCTCTGCCAGGCGTAGAAGCTCAAGGCCGGTTTCCTATACTGAACCTGGAACCCTAGCAATAGTTATAGAATTTTTGCTGTTTGTTAGGAATAATAACGTGCCCAAAAAAATCTTAAAACAAAAAACATCCCAAGTATCCCTAAGTTTCCAGGTCGACCTTCGGCTGACCACTATAGATGTAGTCAAGCAAGGCGGACACTGCTGCTTTAGAAGCACGGATTTCCACTGGCTGCTTTCTCTGTACCTGGCTCGCTTCCAGAAAAGATCCACCCAGAAGATTCCTAAAGACCTCGCTGGCTGCAGATAGCAGGGCTGTGTGGGCGCAGTGCTCAGCACCATCAATGTCTTTCAATACAACGTCGCAGAGGTGACGTTGCATCCAAAAACTGCGCATCTGCTTCATGATGCTGGCCTGATGCTGCGCCAGGTTGGAGTGTTCAAGCTCTACAGTCTCTATAGCTTCCATGGCGCCACCGCAAGGCAGGTGACGGTCACACCTAAGGCGAAGTGTCTGTTGAGGTGCTTGGTTCATCTTGACAAGCGACTTGGGGGCCAAACCCTTCTGTTCACTGTCCCTAGTGGCCCTAGTACCCCTTCCTTTTTGGTTGTCGACAACTAAACCCTAAACCCTAAACCCTAAACCCTAAACCCTCCACCGGCTCAATTTGTCTTGAAGGTTGGTGGGCGTCGGTCTTGCAGCTAAAAACACCTGCGGGTCCCGGCATCACTTTTGGACACCATGTGGAACTTAGTTGTCCAGTACCTAGGGGTTTTAAAGGTTAACCTTTGGGAATATAAGGGGAATATATTAACCCAAAAAGGTTAAAGGTTAGCTACTCTACTACTAAGGGAAAGCGCATCATAGATAAGGCCAAACTTGCCATGCGCATGGGCGGTTCGGGTCTGAGCAGCCCCCATCTTGAGATTGGCATGGAGGTTTTTGGTGGTTCTCTTTGTAGGCGTGGCTTGCTGCCGCCTACCATGCAACATGTGCAGGGATACTTCTAGGAACTTCTAGGTGAGGAGATCGGGCAAGGGCCCCGCAGCTATTCCCAGCTGCTTCGAGCAGTTTCGGACCCAGGGGAAAGCACAGGCCTATGAGGGCACGGACGCGTGGCTGCATCAGACACCAAGTAGAATACAGCACGGCCAAAGGCCTACTAAACCTTTCAGACATAGAGGATGCGCCCTTAATAAGTTTGTCTATTCCGATTTGCTTGAAGTCTCCGACCTCTGAGAACGCTGTCTGCAACAGCAAGTCTTGCGCATCTCATTTTTTGCCCGATCGCCCCGCATGTTAGCATGCATGCTTCCATGCATGCTGCCCCCAAGTCTCTAAAGCTACAAGTTGCCCCCCTCCATGCTCCTGCAACCAAAAATCATGACAACAACCCTGGGCACTGCTGCAAGTCGCAATCCACGAAAACCGGGGGTACATCTAACCCTAAACCCTAAACCCTAAACCCTAAACCGCTTGAGCCGAACACTGCCTTTGGCATCTTTCGGCAGCCTCAGCGGAGGTCAGTGGAGCGCATTCGAGCCCGCGTGGGAACCTGAAACTTTGCTAGGGTTTAGGGTTTAGGGTTCAGGGTTTAGGGTTTAGGGTTTAGGGTTGAGGGTTTAGGGTTTAGGGTGTAGGGTTTAGGGTATAGAGTTTATGGTTTAGGGTTTAGGGTTTAGGATTTAGGGTTTAGGGTTTGTGCGGAAAGGAAGGCCGTTACACTTTGGAGGCTTTGGCGCGTTGTGCATCATCCTTTGGGATGTTCCCCCTATACTAGCAGCCCTTCATAGGGATTCTAGTACCCCTAGTATAATCCCTATTAAGGACTGTTAATATAAGGCGGAACAACCCAAATCATCCAGCACCAGTTTCTTTTTCTTCGGAAAATCGTCACAAATGATGGCACATGTGTCGTCCACGAGGCCCAGCTGAGCAGATACCCTGCGGTAAGAGCTGCAATCTGAATGCCCCTTGAAAACTGCTCTGGCCGAGTCACAGAATGGCTGCGGCTCGCCGACAGGACTGGCTGACCAAGGCCCCCCAAGCGCCGCGGCTGCCGCATCCTGAGCCGATTCGAAGTTAAAGACCATAGTGGTAGACTAGCCATGCTCACAAGCATAAGTGGGGACGCCTAGTTGTTTCATGGGTTTGAGATTGCAGACGACCAGTCGCCGATAGGGTGCAGCTGGGCATTTGGGCAATGTAAAGTGAAACTGTAGCTGTAGCTGCGCACCAACATGACTTAAATTCTCAAGACCTGCAAAATCCTGCAACCACGCTCTGAAGCACGATTGGCGAGATGTAACTATCGCCAGCTGCTTGCGAGATCGAAACATCCGGCTGCAAGTGTTCCTTTCGAACGAGCTCTTCAGCAAGACTCCAGACCAACAAGATAAGAACTTAAGCTCGCGCAGGACACGGATGGACATGATCCTAAAGTCCATAACCCCTTCCAAAGATCATAAAAAGCCCAGAACAAGGCAAACCTCACGCCTAAAGACTAAGCTCTGAACCCTTCTGCGCATTCATTGGGCGCCAGCGGCTAACAGCTAGTGGTTTCCAGGTTTCCTCCCCAACTCTCTGTATTCGAGGATTTGGGGCCGTCATAGCCAAAGAAATCCACCAATAAAACACCCAAAGCCTCCCAGAGCCCGGAGCCCTTAACGCGCGCAGGACCTCACACAAGCCCGCGGCCCCTCCCGAATAGAGTTGCTAACGCAGAACCTGAAGACAATGTTGTTTTCCAGCGGCAGCAAGAAGGCTCGTTGCCCCCTCCCCTCTGCCAGGATCCCCCCCCCCCCCCCGAAGATTCCCAAAACGTTAAGAAATCCCCACCACCACTCCCTCTGTTTTCAACAGATCCTTCTGTGGAAAAACAAAAATTTTTCCGGTGTTTTTTCTGTCAGGAGGTTCCGAAGATGGTTGAAAAGATCCCCGAAATCCAAACATGGCAGGGTTTAGGGTTTAGTAAGGGTTTAGGGTTTAGGGTTTAGGGTTCAAGAGGCCCCGCCAAATCGTCGAGAGCTTGGAAGGAAGTTCGACGTGGGGTTCCTGAGGCTCTCACTTCTCCAGGCCATAGGCTTGAGACGCCACGACCTGTGCTTACTTGAAGGTTCATGGGTAGCTATAAGCAGGGTAAGACGTACCCTAAATAAGGTTGCATATAACCCCTCTTCTAACTACCCTTGAACCTCCAAGTAGGGCTAGCTACGGGGCGTGGACCTTCGAAGTTTTGGTTTGGGGCTTCAGCTTTACATGGGGTGGCGAGCCTTTGGGATTTGGAGGAATTGAGGGCTGGGGGGTTTGGTTTGGAGTCGGATCATGTGGATCGAGGTTACTAAGGTTCATAGGCACACAAAGAAATGGCTCAGAATGTCTGAGTGCCTCAGGCTTGGCTGCAACAGTGCTGCTGCGACTGCAAGATCCTCAAGTCCTAAAGCTCGCTACGTATGTTCAGCCTTGAGAATGGTGAGGTGGACTTGGTGCAGCATCCTTAAACCTAACCCTCGGGAGGCCAGAATAGCAACCACTGCAACCACAATGCTGGCATTCACCTTGGGAACTCACGGTGGCGTTGTCTCGATTTTTTCGGCACGCGGAGAGGCCGCCTTACGCTTCTCAAGGCACCATGAATAGCACCTCAATCATCATCCTCCTGAGTCGCACATATGTCACTATGCACAGGCCTCGACACATTGGCACAGGAGCTGCGCCCGGGGCGAGTCGGGGCCTTCAGCCATCAAGACATTGTCCAAGGCAGCCGTGGCCATCTCGGCCGCGAGATCAACCATGGCAGCGTTGGCGGCCACCTCAAATCCAGCCTGGCGGTGCCACTTGGGCCGTCTTTGTTGGGTTGGTAGAGGCTTCCCAAAATAGAACAACACTCCTATAATGTACTCGCAACATACCACAATCCTAACTATAGGAAGCCCTTCCTTTACCCATACAAGTATCATTATTGTATCAACCCAACAACGATCCCGGAAGGCCCTCGCCCCCCCCCCCCCCCCAACCGCAAAAGCACACTGTCTACACGTCGTTTCCGACCGGGAAGCTGTGAACACCCGGCACTTATACGCAGGATGGCCGCGAAGCTCGTTATCGATGAGTCCAATCATCTCGTTGATCATGTCTTCCTGCTCCCCTAAGCCCGCAAACCCTAGAACTCTAGTTGGGGTTCCTGGACACTAGACCCTAAGCCCTAAACCCTAAACCCTAAGCCCTAAACCCTAAGCCCGAAACACTGGCCTTTTGGGGGACTTGAAAGGAGCCAAAAGAATACCAAAAGAGAAGCCCAGCCGCCAAGCCCTCCGCACTTCCATCTGGGAAGGCTTGCAGCTGCTCCCACCTAAGCTTCGGAAGCTTCGAAAGTAGGTTTAGGGCTTAGGGTTCAGGGTTCAGGGTTTAGGGTTTAGGGACTTAGCTTGGCGGGCATGTCTTTTAGCGACCTGACCAACTCCTTCGGACTTCAAAGATAGGAGGGCTTTTGCAGGGGTTGACCTTGATGGGGGGCGGAAGGATTACTAAGAAGTCAGCAACGGCGACTCTGCTATTCTAAACAAGCCACAGGAAACTCAGGCGTGCGCGCCTTGCATCGCTTTGCTCCTGCATCTGCCCCTGAAGGCTGCAAACCTCACACGTGCACTGGAACCTCAGACGCTTGGACAGCTGCTCCTGTCGCTCTTGACGCTTGGTGAACAAGTCCAAGTATGTTGTGCACAACTCTTGCCCAGCTTCTATATCCTGCGTAACACAAATGGTCTCTATACCTGTCTCAGCATCCCAGCTGTTGTGTACGTTTGGCACGCAGCTGTGGTTGAATCGCGCGATGGTGTTGAAAACGGCGACGGCCTCTTGCCCAATCTCATCTTCTACAGGGTAGCTGTTTGTCAAAACCCTGCTTTTGGCCGAGCCTCGGCCGCTGCTCTCGAACAGTTGTGCATCAAACAGGTTCCAAAAGGATGCCTGATTAGCCTCTGATAGCTTCGAAAGGCGCTGCTCGATGTCTGCATCGCTGAATGTGCCCAACTCATCTCGTGTAAGTATGAGTAAGGGCGGCTCTTGAAGAATCAGTTCTCCTTTTCGCAAGTTCCTCTTGGCGATGACGCCTTTGCCTTTGTCTCCAAGCGAGCAAATCTCAAACGCCTCGCTCTCAGAGGATGTCAAGGTGCAGCGTTTCCCCACAATGCGAGAACGTGAACACCTCGACGCACACCAGCTCACACCTCCCCACCTATACTGAACTTGGAACCCTAGCAAAGACTATACCTTTTGCTGTTTCTTAAGAGTTGTAGTCCCCAACAAAATAAAACTATTCCCAAGTATCCCTAAGCCACAGGAGCAGCCTCTCCCAAGAAAGTGGGGATGCTGAGGCCGCTACGGATCCCGCCGGCAAGGTCACGAGCTGCGGACGGCTTGCATCCAGGGCTCGAGTCGCCCGTCCAGGCGTTGGACTGCACAAGCGCATCATGGAAGGCGATGTAACTTCTGTATTTGAAGGCGAACTGCCCGGGGGATCTTGGCCTGTCTTGGTGCAACTATTCTATGCTTGCTGGGACGGTGTCTGCATGTGTCTGCATTAACAAGAGCAGCAGCTCTCCTGCATCACCAGTTGCTGTACAGCTTCAGTCAGGCCAGTTGAGATTGAACAGCATGCTGGCACGAAACCAAAAGTAGCTAGCACGACGGCACACGTTTGGGTTTCTGGCCTTGCACTCAGGAGAATCTTTGGTCTGTTCGGACGGCCGCTCTTGCATTGAGGACTCTGTGCATCTGCAGGCTTCCTGAAGGGCCCCCAAAGTGCGGCTTTATCTCTTGCTGGCGGGGACGCCCATGCAAACTGCAAGCTCTATTGAGACGCCTAAGCCTTAAACCCTATAAACCCTAAATCCTAAACCCTAAACCCTAATGGCAGACTGCAGATGAGAAACTACTGCTCAGTACTGTGATCTGTCAGGGAAGCCTTGAACCCCAAAAGCCCTTGCACTCCCAAACACCTCAACAAAATCAATACCAAAGAAGTGCATGCATACAAGCACGCGCACATATACATGTATATATCTGTGTGTGCAATATATATATATAGATATATATGTATATGTATATATGTATATGTAACATAAACAAGTTGATAAGTCTAGACGTAGCAGTAACTACGGATAGATTATTACAAAGCTTACTCTTCTTACTGTTGACTAGTTGATAGTTGGGGGGGAGGGGAGGGGGAGCTCAGGGTTTAGGGGGGTTGTGTGCCTTGAACCGGCCTAGACCACCGAGGATTCAGGGCTTAGGGTGTTCAACCCAAACCCTGAGCTTCCCGCACGTGCTCCCGGCGAGCCTGTCAGAAGCGTAGCATTTTGAGAGTGGGGGTTCTAATCATCAGTGGCTTCTGGGTGGGGGACGAAATTCTTCACCCTGTGTAGGGTTGTCATGCCTATAAGGCTTTCAGTTCTCTTTCTTAGCAGTCTTCCGGAGGGCCCCCCCTAAACCCTTAAAGATTAGGCACAAGCCCTCTCTCCCCTGAACCCCTAGACCCGAATGCAGCCGATGAGCTCATTGGGGTTCTCCCACGAGCCCTACGCCGTCCTATGCGGGGCACCAGGGCATATAAGACTGCTGCAGCCCCTGAACTCAAGAAAATGGTTTAGGATGCAGGGTTTAGGGCGAAGGGCTGTGGCCTGAACATGAAGCTGATGGCAAACCGCGACCTGAGACCTTACCCACCTGAAAGTAAGAGATCCTAGACACATCAAGTTCACAACTCATAGGGGCTTCGATTTCGAAACTTAGGGTTGATGGCGTTGAGAATTCAGACCCTAAACCCTAAACCCTAAACCCTAAACCCTAAACCCTAAACCCTAAAAGGGGGCCAATCGATGTCGAGCCTCCGGCCCCCTGCTTCGGCCCTCGAATTTCGGGTCGCTCAGCTCTAAACCCTGCACACCGAAACCGCAAACCCCAAACCTCAATGCCCCAAAGCCGGAGCCCTTCTGACCCTCCAACAACCCTAAACCCTAAACCCTAAACCCTAAACACGCAAGCCGCTCGCCAGGCTTCCGCCTGGCACTTTCTGTCTGCCGTGGGACCAGCGGGAAGGCGAGCCCGCTCTTGCGGGACCACCAGGAGCCCTCGTGGTTTAGGGTTTAGGGTTTAGGGTTTAGGGTTTAGGGTTTAGGGTTGACGTGTTGTGGTTTACTGCGATTTGGGGGTCTAGGGTTGGGATGTTCCCCCTTAGACTAACAGTCCTTAATAGGGATTATAATGGAGGTACTATAATCACTACTAAGGACTGTCAGTTGAGTTCAGGGTTAGGATTCCGGGGCTTTCCCCTGACGAGGTTTAGGGCTTCAGGGTTGAATATGGGGGGTCCTGGGTCATGGAACTAAGCTGGTCGATTCCAGGTGGTGGCTTGCTTTGGGCTGGGGCTTGGCTTCGCGAGCATTTTTTTCTTGTTTTTTTGGCAGGGGGGGGGGAGGGGGGGGGCCTTAGGGCTGTTGGGGATCAGACCAAAACCGAACTGACCACCCAAAAAAGCACCGACGTCCACTGAAGCCGGAAGCAAATGTTAGCCAAACTCGAAGCCTTCAACCCTTTGCACTAAATCCTAAACCCTAACCAAAAATTTGTTCAACACGAAAGCTAGCCCTTGGATTCTGGCTGCAGTCGAGACTCGGTGGTGTCTGAGGCAGAACTGGCGGTGAAGGTCTATGAAAAGATGTGTCCTCTTGCATCGTGGGTTTAGATTTAGGGTTTAGGGTTTAGGGTTCCGGGTTTAGGGGCTTATGAGCGCCCATGCTCTACGAACATGCTACACAAAAAGCGGGTGAGGAACCACAAGGAAGGTGACCCGAGCTCGCACACTTGCGGCAACAGAGTCTCATCTACGTCCGTACCTTATACCTAGATGTGTTATGAAGCCCAGGCCCACCAAAAACCCAAACCTGAACCCGAATCCCAAAACTAGCACAAGTGACATCTTTAATTCGACAGTCTCCTTCTTGGACGCCCCCTAAACCCTAAACCCTAAACCCTAAACCCTAAACCCTAAACCCTAAACCCTAAACCCTAAACCCTAAACCCTAAACTCAAGGCTCGAAGCCAGGTCTCCACAGGGCCTAAAGAAGCCCCACCTACAGTGCCTTCTAGACAAGTTAGAAACCTTGTAAACCCCAGGAAACTACGTAAAGAAAGTCCCCTTGAAAGATCAGCCCCTAAACCCTAAACCCTAAACCCTAAACCCTAAACCCTAAACCCCCTTTCGACCCCCGAACCTGGCGGTTCGGCGTAGGCACCTGGCTCCTCGCGGCCTGGCAAAGTATCTACTACCAGTCGTATCGGTCGCAATTATTCTTGCTGTCATTTTTTTCTGGGTATAGGGTTTAGGGTCTGGATGGGTCTAGGGTCTAGGGTTTAGGTGTTTGTTGTTTATGACTGCCATGATTCTGGTCATTCGCTGTATTACAGGCTTGCGGTTCAGGGAAGTAAGGGTTCAGGATTGCAGAGCACAGGCTTCAAAACCCTAAACCCTAAACCCTAAACCCTAAACCCTAAACCCTAAACCCTAAACCCTAAACCCTAAACCCTAAACCCTAAACCCTAAACCCTAAAAGAGCTTTGGTGGTGGAGGCCAACGAAGAGCTCACCAAGTGCAACATGGAGCCCTGCGCAAGTTCCAGAAAGAAACTGCACGGAACTGCTGCTGAGCCAACTATACAGACCCTGAACCCTAAACCCTAAACCCTAAACCCTAAACCCTAAACCCTAAACCTTAATGCCAAATCCCTAAGCCCTGCACAGAACGACTGCGACATTTTGTCCTGCGAAGCGCAGCGCGCGCGATCACCACAGAGGGAGGTTTGTGGAGGTGGCAGCCCCTTAAGCTGCCACCGGCTGCCTCTGAGTCTGCTACCTGTAGAAACAGATCCTGACATATGGGCTTTAATCGGTAGGTAGATCGGGGGTGGTATGGAATAGTCTTATATGGAATAGTCTTATTCGCCGCAAGGGAAGTCCTGTCCGTACTATTTTCAATTTTAACTTCCAGTTGACAGGTTCCAGTTGACAGGTTCCTGCGATCCCAGGTAAAAAGCCTAGTAGTCAGCATCAGCGCATTCGTTCTCGGGGTCTTGCGAGTAGAAATGCATTTCCGTTTCCGTCTCGCACATGGCTTTTAGCTCCTCAGGCCTGTACGTCAGGCTCGAAAGGAAGTTTTTGTAGGCCTCTGCGTACCATTTAAGTTCAGCCCTGTTGGCACCTTTCGGCATCTTAAAGCCAGGGAAATGCTGTGCAATAATGCCGCCCCACTCGCCAATGTCCTCAAATCGCAGGACTAGCACCTGGCACGTCTCCCCACGAACTAACATGTGTTTGGCCTTTCGGTCGAACTGGCTTTGCAGCACGTCAACGCCCGTTGCGTGGAAGAAGGTGTCAGAGTACCACTTTGAGTATGCCTGGATGACAATCTCATGCTGGGCTTGGAAGTCCTCTTGCAAAGCTTCCACGTTGGTCCTGCCAAGTTGGGTCACAGTTGCCTCTGTCCACCTCTTGTCACCTCCGACAGGAGGTGTGTCATTGTACCTGCGAATACCTCGGGGATGAAAGCCGTAGGGATGCTCCGGAAGTAGGACATTCTCGAAGTACTCCGAAGGATCTCTGCTGAAGTGGCTTCGCGTTGCCGTGATGATGAAGCACTCATCCCCTGGCTTTAACGACCACTCCTGTGAAAAAGCAAAGCCTTGCACTTGCGGGGGGATCTGTGGACGCTCGCCATCGAGCCATTGCTTGGCGTGCAAGGGCAAGTGGGCGTGGGCCACTGATATCCCAAGTTGAGTCTTCATCCCTTCGACGATGGCGGAGCTGGCAACCTTGCCGTACTGGAACGCCATGACCTTCCGCTTTCCCGGCTTCTCTGCGCTCCAGATCTTGCGCAGCTCTGCATACCTGCCCGTCTCGCACAGCTTGAAGCACGGAAAGGGCGCGCAGGAATTGTTTTTCTCCCAGCATCCAGGCTCAAGAGGGTTGCTTGCCAAGTTCTTCGCCAAGAAGTCGTTGAACCAGTCTACTTTTCGAGGCTGATGGCAGTATTTCAAGTCTTCTGGCAAGTAAAATTCCTCAGGGTCCCTTTTGCACCCAGGTCTGTGCTTTGGCTTGTTCGTGCTCACTCCAGTGTCCCGGTCCAAAGCCCTAGAAGTCCGCCACATGGCGAAGGTCGAAAAACCAATGGACAGAATGAAGACTGCCGCAACGGCCTTGTGGGAACGACTGCAGGACAACAGCGCCATGGCAAGTTGTCAGCACAGGTGGCATCCATACAACGCTTTCAAGGGCTATGCTACATCGGCGAGAAAGTGCTTCGAGCCATGACCCTTCGCACGAAAAAACGTTTGACCCCACGTGGGATGGATCAACATCGTTTCAAGAGGTTCTTCTGAACATGGTTAGCCATGGCATTTCTCAGAGCGGTACCTCCAGATTAGCCGGTTGGGGGGGGGGGGCACGTAGGCCCAAAGCCAACAAGCATGCTTTAAGGCTGAAGGAGATGTCAACGTCAGGCCTCGAGTTGCCCAGAAGAACGAATGGGATAGTCCTACAAGCCCTAAGTCGCTTATGCTTTATGTCAGACAGTCCCTCTTCCTGGTTGATAGTATGGCCTAGGAGGTCTGGTGCCTCCTGGGTTGCTTGCAGCTACGAGATGGACCGAAACACTCGAGTTGGACCAACTTTGCTCAAGGAAACATGGCAGGGCTGACAACGAAAGGCCCCGTGCTGCACGAACACGAACGGTCATCGGGTTTATTTGGGTCTGCACCCTTTGGACTGTAACAAACTCCAGGTCTCAATCTACCATCTGCTTAACCCAACAAAAATGAAAAAGATGATAATAACCTTAATAGTAATCAAAGTGTCAAGCATCCCCTAGCCCACACTGGAAGCCCGTTGTCAAAGCACTTTTCTCCCGTCTGCAGTCCCATCATCTCACTGCACGTGCAGGAAATAAGTGAAGGGAATGTGTGAGACAGCAAACTGAAGCTCAATAAGGCTGAAGCTATACCCCGCATCTTAAAGCCCTAAAGAGCCCTAAGACCTACGTACCAGCAATGAACAAACCATGAGCAACTCCGCTTACAAAAAGGCCACCCTCTACCCGCACAAGAAGCTGCAGGGAAAAGAATCTAAACCCTAAACCCCAAACGCCAAACCCCAAACCCTAAATGCCTGGCTCAGCGAGTAGCCGCTAGCCCAGTCCCAAACTTGCTTAGAACTTTGGTCGAACTTACGGATCGGTTTTTTGCCCTTTGTTGCACTGTGGCTTTGTCTCATATGAGGTAGGGTTTATATTCCTTGTACTGCGGACTCGAGGTCGTGAATCCTATCAAGGTGAGACAGCTTTATTCCTTGTATCGCCAAAAGGACACCAAGTATCTACACTCACCAAACCTAAAAAGGAACCTTATATACACTCACCAAAAACAGAAATATAAAACGCTGCTTCGTGTCTCTTTGGCTTGGAGCCTCATGCGGTTCTCTAACGACCTCGTCTGAACCTTCAGATAATATCCACACCCGGAGTCCTGAAACCTTAGGGTTTCATGCCTAAACCCTAAACCCTAAACCCGAAACCCTAAACCCGCTCAAAGGAAAAAAACACCATCGCCCTGGATCACACTCAGGTCTGGTAGATGATGTCTGACCGAACCTGAACTTTTTTCATCGAGGGGCAGGATTGGTGCTTTCGGGTTTGCACCCTAAACTTGGGATGTTCCCCCTTATACTAACAGTCCTTAATAGGAGCTATAGTAACCCCCCCCCATTAAAATCCCTACCAAGGACTGTTCAACCCTAAACCCTTTTTGAGCACGGACTGAGGAAGCTGCCGGCAACCTGATAGCAGAGCCTTCCCGCGATCCTATACAAGCAGGGGATGCAATCACAGGTGTGACTTCGTACTGATAGAAGAAGGGTCGTTGCTGCCTCACCAAAAGAGTTCGACAAGGCTCTCACGACTGTGCAGCCGACAGCCGACGTAGACAAGATCCAAAAGAGTTCGATCATGACGCCGCTGCTGCTCTCTCATTCTATCTTCATCTTCACGTGACGGTCCCTAAGGAGTTGCAAATGGCTCGAGGGTGGAGCTTTATCGTCTGAAGAAGCTAGTGGCAACACGTGGGAGCACGCAGCTTCCTGCTGCGGACGCATGCCGGCAGCACTCGCAGCATAAGGATGATAGCTGCTTGCAGTGTCCAACTTCTCCCCAGCATCCTGTTCATCAAGCTGCCGACGCAAATCGAGGATGGTGGCTACATTTTGTTCCATGAGTTTTTGCATATTCTCCAGTGTTGACATGAAGTTGTCAATTGTAGATTTCATGAAAGCCTCAAACTGGGTTCGCGTCAAGACCTCCTCGCAGGTTTGGCACTCCGCATGTCGACCAGGGCTAGCGTGGGCCACTGGCAAACATAAATCCAGGTGGATCATCTGCCTGTTCCTTCGAGCCGGCTGGTCATCCATCTGCAAGAGAGCAACACGCGCCATCTTGATGAATCGAATGGCAGAGTCCCCTCCCAGCTTCTTTGCAGTGCGCTCTGCGAAACCCAAACATGACAACAGTTTCGTCTACCGAGCATCCATGGCAGCACTTTCCAAGCCACAGTGTGAATTCAATGCAGGGGCTTGCCCAGTTTGGGCCTCGTAACCATAACGGCTCCTTGAGCCAAAATGGCTTGACCCAAACTAACCCTAAACCCTAAACCCTAAACTGTTAGTATAAGGGGGAACATCCCAGCTCTCAACCTCAAACCGCAACATGGAGTCCTTTCCCATGAAAAACATCAGTAGGACTTCGGCACAAGGTGCGCAGTGCAAAAGAGTAGAGGGCCGAGTGTAGGGAGTGAGGGTTTAGGGTTTAGGGTTTAGGGTTTAGGGTTTAGGGTACTTTGAGGCCTTGATCTGTTGGGATTCAGTGCTTAAGTTTGTCCCATGACGGGGGTATTTCCCTTCACGACAGCGCGGCCCGATCCAGGAAAGTACCTTTGTCTACTATATGCTTAAGAACCGCCAAAAAATCACAAACAAATCTTATAAGGGCAATATAGGGATCATTCTACTTCTTTTTTTTTCAGGTGGGTTCTTAAGCAAATAGTAGTTATGCACTTGCAAGTGGAAGCTTTTGAGGCGTTCGACTTTTTCCAATTCAAAGCTGACTTTCGAGACCCAAGGGTGGGGGCTTCAGGGATGAAAGGCGGTCATTGAAGAAACGGATATTCATTTTCATAACTTCTACCCTATACCCTATACCCTATACCCTAAACCCTAAACCCTAAGCCCTAAACCCTAAACCCTAAATCTGCAGACAGGAGGCCAGGTACTTGACTCCGGACTTCCTGCGGTGGAAAGCTCAGGCTGCTTGCTTGTTTTGGGGCTTCAGGGAGTGTAGGGGGCCGTTTAGGGAATAGGCCGCACCCCCACTTGGAGGTTCATGCTACTTATAACCCAATTTATAACTGTACTTAGAGCGCCTTGAGTGCACTAATGTGCGTATAATTGGGTTATAAGTGCAGTTACAACTGGGTTCTGAAGTACCATGAGCCTCCAAGCATTGAGGCGAAGGTCTCTGAGTTGCATGCGGAGGAGCCGTATGGCAGTTTGGACCTGGGCCTCGAGGCTGCGAGTTTGCGTGTGCTACGTGCGCGCAGGCTTGGCAGCACCACAGAGGCTGCAATAGCACTGAACCTTTCAAGCCTAACCCTATACCCTAAACCCCAAACCCTGAACCCTAAACCCCAAACCCTAAATCCAAATGAAACTCCAGAGCTCCCAGCCCCAAAGTCCCAATGCCCCAATTGCAGCATGGCCTCTCAAAACCGCTACAACTCCCTACAACCCTTAAGATCTCAAAACCCTAAAAACCCCTGTGCCCTAACCAGTACTCACTCAGCACTTCCAGGAAAAGTCCACGTCCCAAACCCTAAACCGAACCCCATCAGGCTACCAAGGGTCACGTCGCCACCATAGTGCATGGGGTTGTTGACCGCGTTCTGCCCATGGAAGAACAAGAGCGCGGCACCCGTCCTAAGTTTAAACACTAAAGGAGGTTTCTGATTTTAGGGCTTAGGGGGCTGAACCCTTAATCCCTTAAACCCTTCAAGCAACCGTTGCACCCTGCCTGGACTAAACCCTAAAGCCCTGAACCCTAACCCCCTTAGCCCCTTGGGCCATAAACCAAGACACCCATGACCCTTTAAGGCCCTAAGCCCGAAACCCTTTAACCTCTGAGACCTCTAGCCCGTTCAAGCCCTTTAGACCCTTGAAAAGACTCTTCTTCCATCCGGGAATCTTGGCAGTTCTGCCGGGATTTACGCGCATTACACCCTTTACTTCCGTTAAGCCAGTTGCGCAGCAGCCTTCTTGGGTTCGCGCCTTGAGCCCTAAATCCCAAACCCGCAGTAGTAAAACTAAACCTACACTTGAATCCTCAAGGTTTGTAGAGTCGCAGCACGAGGAAAGAAAGCTACTCAACCACTTCCGGCTTGAAGATTGCTTGAGTGATTTAGCCAAATCTGCCCAACCCCAGTTCTACATAGGGCTTGAGGGTTGCGGTGGCAATCTGCCAGCATACGCTTACATGCACACCCAAGAACACAAAGCCCCATAAGCCTTAGGATTTCGCATTTGATGTAGAGTTCATATTTCTTGTATCCCCAAAAGGACACCCAAGATATACACTCAGCAATCTTTAAAAGGAACCTTTTATACGCTCACCAATAACAGAAATATTAACCCTGTTTCATTTGCGGCCGAGAGTGCTTTGGCGGAATCGCCACCCAGGTCCCCCCCTGCGGGTATGTGAACACGGTCTCGCCTGGGTCAGACATCACAGATCGAAGCCCTGGACAGAAGTTCACGAATCTCCTCCCCCACCTGCTCCCGCGCTCTGAATACACACATATATGTATATATTTTTTTATATGTTTAAAAAACAAATATACATATATTTTTTCATTTTTGTATGTATGTATGCCAGGTTGAATTTGGCTCCTCTTCAAACAGGACTGTTTTGGTTGCCACCCCCCTCCCCCCCCCCGCCCCCAAAAAGGACCATGCCTCCCTCCACGTCGTCGCTCAGCCAGAAGAGGCAGGACATGTAGGAGCGCGTGCCCGTCTCCTTCTGCAGCTCATTTCCTGCTGGGACACAACTATCTAGCCTGATAGGGGTTTAGGGTTTAGGTTTTAGGGTTGAGGGTATGAAGTTCTTGCTCAGACACATGGTTCGTGCATGAGAACGGCTTAGTGCTGTCGGAGTGAAGGTGCGCTCCCGACCCCCGCCTATGCGCACAGTGCCCGGGGTGTGCCCATCGATGTGGGGATTCAGATACTGGCCCTTCTCATACTTGAGCACGGCCCACCCTTAGCCACAGGCGAGTTTGCGTATGGGAGTTCAATAACAAAAGGGGGCCTTTTGGTACTTCGTAGCTAAACGATAAGGAAAACTACGATTTACAGAGGTTCCCAAACAGCACCCATCACATCGACTAAGCCGCCATGGGTTTGGGGTTCAGGGTTTAGAGTTTAGGATCTGCTCTTGCTTGGAGGTTCATGGGTAGCTCTAAGTGGGGGCTAGAAGTAGGGTAAACTGTACTTCTAACTGGTCATAGCCTTCTCTAGGGCACTTATATAACATACTTACAGTTACCCATGAACCTTCAAGTGAACCCTGTAAAACGGCGGCACAGCCGTGGAGGAAGCACAGGGGTCACCCGGATTAGGGTTTAGGGTTTATAAGGTCCAGCGCTTAGGGTTCTGGGTTGGTGAAACCCTAGAACCCTGTAAACTAATTGGAAGCCTTAAGCCCTCAATCCCTTTTTTGTTGACTAACACTTCAATTAAACCAAAAAGAACCCTTATGAAATCCCTTGAACCCTGAACCCTGTGGGTCAAGGGTGTTACGGGCATCTTGCACTGAGCCGCGGCGATGGATGCCAATGGGTCGGCCGCCAAAGTGGTCCGGCAAGAAGGGCTTCCTGAAGGTTTTTTTGATTCTTGGGAACTTAGGGTTTATCCTTTGGGACGTTCCCCCTTATACTAACCGTCCTTAAGAGGGACTATGGTAAGAGTTACTATAATCCCCATTGAACACTGTTAGTATATGTTAGTATATGTTAGTATAAGGGGGGAACATCCCAAGCTTTGTCCTTAGATGAAAACAAGGGTGCTCTATATGTAAGCCTACCATTGTAACTTAGCTTCAGCTAGCCGACAAGAACAACGGGAGGCACTCTGGGAACGATTGATGGTTCCAAACAAGGTCTGACGCGGGATGCAGAGGATTGGCTTCTCTTGTTTTTTCGGGATCATATAAACTGCTTCTCGGCGGCTTGGAGGCATCGTGAAACTTTGAGTTTGGAGGACATACAAGTTACCCTAAACCCTAAACCCTAAACCCTAACCCCTAAACCCTAAACCCTAAACCCTACACCCTAAACTTGGCGGACAGGAAGAGAACCTGCGAGGCCTCGCTTTTTGAAGACCGACATCCCGACCAACAAGCCCTGGCTCGCTCTGAGCACTCGAAGCTCTGGTCAATCGTGAACCCTATATCTACATGCTTGCATATATATATATATGTATGAATATATAGATATGTATATATATATATATATATCCATATTTATATGTCTTGTTTTAAGGATACTTCCAGATAAACAAATGCTAGACATGTCAACGGTGATGATCTTCCAGGTGCCGCCACGCCGTGTTCTAACACACCCATCAACCCCAGGTTTGGGCTTAGGGTTTAGGGTTTAGGGTTTAGGGTTTAGGGTTTAGGGTTTAGGGTTTAGGGCAATCCAAGAGGTCGAAGCCGAAGGGCAGCCTCTCAAAGATATGATTCGAGAACTGCTCGGGCATGTAGAGTGTCACGGCACCCACCTGCAAGGACGCTTCGCGGCGAAAAAGGTTTAGGGTTTAGGGTTTAGGGTTTAGGGTTTAGGGTTTAGGGTTTGAGGTTTAGGGTTCAGGAAGCCAACCCTCTGTGAGCGCCCCCCCATTAAGCTTGTCCACATTCAAGCACCTGACTCCAGCGAGTTCGGAAGCCGATGTCTTCGCACAGCTGGACCAGCTGCTGGCAATCCTGAACTCCGGGGCTGGTGGCAGGGGGGAGCAGGGACGGGGGGGGAGGGGGGTGAAGGGTCTCTGAAGTGCTTGACAGAGGCTTTCGTGGCTGTTGAGGCTTTCAGGGCTTAGGAATGTGGGGGGGACACAGGGTCAGAGTTTTGAGGGGTAACTAGTGCTTCAGGATACAAAGGCTCGCTCATCCTGCCCAATCGTTCAGGTTGTGTTCCGAGAACTCCTGGTATTGCGAGGTCGCGGCATGTTTTGAAGGAGTTCAGGTTTCAAAAACCATCCCAGAGCCCGAAAAGTGCATTGGGGGCTCGACCCCCAACCTCTCGAATCTCAACCATCCGATGGGCCCTCGAGACCCCATAGTTTTAAACACTAACAACCCAACATGCGCCCTAATAAGCCGTAAACCCTGAACCCTCAAGACTAAGCCAAAAACAAGCCCCAAACCCTGAACCCGTAATAAGCCAAACATATCGACCTGAAGCCCGGAGAAAGGGTTTAGGGATTCAGGGGCTTCACACCTCGACCCCTGATAGTGAGCTGATGTGGTTCAAGAGTTCCCTCCTGGGTCCCCCCTCCATCCCCCAGCCACGGAGAGGTCGACATGCCCCTTCCAGTATACCATGCAACACATCCTGGGGGACTTTTGAACATGAAGGGGTGGATACATTCAAGGGACCCCTAAAATAGCCCAAAGGGTTTTCACTTACAATACGGACCCCAATAAGGTACCCCCCCCAATTCGGAAACCACCATGTAGGGGGGGAAGGGATTCAGCTTCTAGCGCAAGAGGAGGCTGGAGCCCGGTCAGATCAAGTCCCCCAAGGCCTCTGTGCTGATGACCCCGTCGACCACAAATCCTGGCTGTCGAGGTTTGGAGTTCAGGGGTGGGGGGTGGGGGGGGGTTCAGGGATGTAATTAGGGATGTTGGGAATACTGTTTAGGGCTTTACAGTCGATGCGAGTAAGTGGACAATGCGAGCTCGGATGTTGCAAAGTTTCGACTTGGTTCTTGTGAGCACTGGGCGCTTCTTGGCCTACATGCTACAACCTTGTTCAGGGATGTGGTTTAGGGTTTAGGGTTTAGGGTTTAGGGTTGAGGGTTTGTAGGACCAGGTCCGACACAAGCTTGGGAGTCCCTCCAATCCCAAAAGCCCGTCCTGGGCTGAAGGTTGGCACCTGACAAGAGATGCACTGCAAAAACACCCCGACGACCCGCTGTGAGACGAGGCCCCAGGGAAGGCCGCAGGGAGTGCTAGGTATACGTTTAAGCCCCTATAAACCTTTTTTGAATCTTGTGCTTGCTGAAGAACCATCACACTCTGTGCTGATTCGTAGATTCATGGTCGCCCGGCTATCCTCCCGAGTCGTGGGGCGGCCTCGTACTTCATGGTCTGTATCGCCGGTGTTGCATCTGCCAGCACAGCATCGCTCACTGCAAATGCCGTGCCTGCAGGCAAAGTTCACCGGGCGGCTGTGACGTGAAGATGCTGACATGCCAGAGTTTGGCAAGTGTGCCTCAACTCCTCCCTCCCTCGCACCCTTCATAGGTCCTCCGGCCCAGAAGTTGAGGTCCGGGCCATTTCCGGCAAAATCGACAAGGGGCTCAATGAGCTGGTCCTGTCACCGTCATGCGAGAAAAGCAGCAGCTGGTCGTCTGATGCTTCTGATGAAAACCCTAAACCCTAAACCCTAAGCCCTAAACCCTATACCCTAAACCTCTCGCAAACCAGACCCTAAAACCCTAAAACCCTAAAACCCTAAAACCCTAAAACCCTAAAACCCTAAAACCCTAAAACCCTAAAACCCTAAAACCCTAAAACCCTAAAACCCTAAACCCTAAACCCAAATCCCCAAAACCCCAAATCCTCCTTTCTTTTGAGTGGCAACAGCCCTTCTTCAAACTGAAGCTCCCTGAGGTGCCAGCTGCAGCGGAAGCGCGCGTCTCACAACAGCAGCGGCTGCAGACCGACCACCCTAAACTTTTGAACCCTAAGCCCCGAACCCTGAACCTTTTTTTGAACCCTAAACCCTTTTGAAACCGGAACTCAGCTCCATGCCGGCGTCAGAAACAGTCTGAAGTGTTGGTTTAAGTGAAACTCTACAGTAGGGGGGCACCCTAGTCCAAACCCGCCTAAACCCTAAACCCTAAACCCTAAACCCTAAACCCTAAACCCTAAACCCTAAACCCTAAACCCTAAACCCTAAACCCTAAACCCTAAACCCTAAACCCCGAGCCCTAAAACCATCCACCATCCTGCAGCAATGCACGAGCCGTGGAATGCCCCGACACCCTCGGAGGCCGAGCCACCTTCAAAAGCATTCATATAGGGGCCTTAATATGTAATATTAAAGTAGGGTTTTGGGGTTTATTGTCGCGTATCTTTAAAAGGCCCATAAGGGAATACTATTCGTAATGAATTCCGACCTCTATGTTTGGGTTTAGGGCTCAGGGATTCAGGGGTTTAGGGATTGCGGGGGGCTTAGGGTTCAGGGCTTTAGGGGTTGCGAGGTTTAGGGTTTGGGCTTTAGGGGTTCCGGGGTCTAGGGTTTAGGGCTTAGGATTCTTTCGACACCCTCCAGGCAGGCCATTTTAGGGTTTCGGGCTTTGTGGGTTTGAGGGATAATTATACTTGTTGGGTTGTAGGGCTTCGGGGTTGGGGGCAATTTAGGGCCAACTTGGCGTTACTTTGGGTTTGGCGTTTCTGGGGCCTCGAAATACATGTCTCTTGTAAGCCGAAGTATGAACATGTCAATCAAGGATCCCAGAAGATTCCTCACGCTTCCCCTTATAAGGGTTATCTAGTGAAAGGCTCATGTGCTATGCGGGGGGTCATTTGCCCTTTCCGGGTCTCTATTCCAGTATACTCCTTACAATGTGGTACGCCTCACGAAACGATGCTATGGTTTTTCGGAACCCTCACTACTGCTGTCTGCGGGGGATCTTCGGTTTTCAGCCGGGAGCCTTGATAATGTCACTTTAAACGCCATTTCACAATCTCGAGCTTGAGATTGAAGATCTCACCAACACTGTTCTAAAAATCTTCAACCTTCAGCTAGACATATGGGGGTTACGAAGATCAGGGACCCCGAATAAAGACCCCAAGTAGTAGGGTTCCCTCATAACAAGGACTCCAGTAAGGTACCCCTAATTTTCGGAAACAGGCACATCACACCTGTCAAACCCAAATCAAAGCCCCATCCAAAGTTGCTTCCGGGCTTGTTCAGTTTCCTGACTTTGTCATTTTCTGTAAGTTAAGGCCTTTGAAGGAACCCCTGTTTGCTACGGAAAACATCCTGTGCCTGCCAGCTTTCGCAAGCCGAGGCAAAAAAAGAACCCCCCCCCACGCCACTTTTTGTTGGTTACAGTTTTCGGGGTTCTCAGCTTATGTTGCTACGAAAACAACCCATATTGCTACGCAAGGCTTCCGTAGATATCAACCTGTCCATTTCGTCTCTTTGAAAATGGAATGTCTCCCCCACCCTTCGATCGAAGCATTTAAAGAAAAATCGGCAAGGATCTTTAGTGACTTGGCGCGCACCTCCACAAACTTTCAAGATCCTCTTTACAAGTAGGAGTGACATGTCCAGATGCGACAGTCTGGCTTTCAGAACTTGGAGTCTGTTCATCCTGTGCGAACTCGGCACAACAGTTAACAAGCCTGCGCAGACCCTAAACCCTAAACCCTTCCATGCTAAAGTGCCAGCCAAAACACGCGTGAAGGGAACAGCTGGACCCCAACGAAGCAGCCGGCGCGAAGCAGGGCGGCTGCCACTGCAGCCAGCAAGCAAAGCCGCCGGGCCATGGTGGAGGAGTGCAGCTCAGCTCAAACTCTCATGTCCGACCGAGAATTTGTACGTGTGCATAAAATGGTCGGCGACTACGATGCAAGAAGATTCAGAGTGGTACTTTTGCTGCTCACATCTCCTCTTCTTCTTCTTCTTCTCCACGTTTACATTTTTTTCTCTCTCTCTCTCTCTCTCTGATTCTGAAGTTATGAAGGTGTGACTCCAATGTACATGCGTAGCATGAAGGTCCTCTTTTCCATGGTCTAAGGGAGGTGATTCCAAACTCAAGAACTTGCTTGGATGACTGAGCAAATTGGGCAAGCACTCATGCGCTTCCGGATGGCCAGCCCGTCGAATCAGATTCTCTGGGATCACATGACTGGCCAACAATGATCACCTCGAAGCCCCTAAACCCTAAACCCTAAACGCTAAACCCTAAGCTATCTTTTTAATCAATATCGCGCGGATGCCCTCAGGGAAGGACTGGTCCACCGCACCTGTGGCAACTGTAGCAAAAACGGCTTGCCAGTCATGAGTCTGAATGTATCTACCGGCCACATGGTCCTATCTTCCTCATGTGAACAGGCGTCCCAAGAGACTGTGATCTTTAGACCTGTCCATAGGACTCGGTCGAAAGCCCCCTCGGCTCTATATGAAGCCAGCACCCCTCCGAACACCTGAAACCCCTCAACCTTTTTGAACTCCCTCAACCTAAAACCCCTTTTGCCTACACCTTACTTGGAGGTACTTATAACCCAATAATAACTGCACTGAGAACCCACTTGTAAGGCCCTTAAGTGACTTAAGTGCCCTAACGTGGCTATAGCTGAGTTAGAAGTACAGTTTTAATTGGGCAATTAAGTACCATGAACCTCCAAGTATGGTCCCTAAGCGCTACCCGACTGCCCCAAAACACCAGCCTTCTGGGTTGCTCTGACACACGCGGAGGTGCTCCAAGACGTGCGGGAGCTCATCCGTCACCTTCAGTCAAGCCAAAAGCAACGCCTCCGTCGAACAATGACACCTGCATGAACGCTAAACCTTTTTTGCAACTGGGACTTGGTGACTGCCAGAAAGGAACCCCCCCACTTCACACACCTGCAAAACTGCACCCCTAAACCCAAAACCCTAAAGTTGAGGAGAACTGCGCAGCTCAACGATCGCATTCTCATGACATCGTCGCAGAACTCTTGGCATCTTATTCGGGCGCTGGGTTCCGACAACAGCCTGAGGCCCCAGAGCCCAGCAAAGGCCCATATCGGCCCAGAACCTTAAACCCAAAACCCTAAAACCCCAAAACGCTAAACCCCTAAACCCCTAAAAACCCTAAAAACCCTAAAACCCTTAAAAACCCTAAAAACCCTAAAAACCCCAAAAACCCTAAACCCCTCCCACGCTAAAGCATGGAACGCACATGCCGCTTGCTTGGCCATGGGGCGTGCGTTCGCCAGGCTGCGGCCGGCTGGGCACCGAAGATGCCGGTCCTTAATGGACGTGCACCCGGCATACCGTGTTAACAAAAAAACAAATAAACATATCTCTCATAACAATAACTCAATATATATATATATATATTATATAATATAAATAACTAAATAGATAAGTAAATAAATAAATAAATATATATATATATATATATATATATGTATATATACACATATATATATATATGCATAGATTTTTGTTTGTTTTTTGTATTTCTTTATCTGCATACATGTATATTGATACATACATACTATAGACTTTTTCAGGTTGAGGGTTTAGAGCATCTCTTGGGCGGGGAGGTAGTGATGAGAGGGGCTTAAGATTGATAGTCGGGGGGGAGCGGGCAAAAGTTTGTTCCTAGCCTGCCGAATGTAAGCCATTCGGCGAGATGGTGGTTCAGGGGGTTGGCGGTTGATGGGCGGCTTGCACGGGCTGCGGCTCTATGTGCCGGGTCTAAACTCCATGAAGGTTCCCTAACAAAGCTTTCGGCAGAACCCCAACAAAAAACACCAGGACATATTGAACCTACAGCTGATCTTCTAAGGGTTATACACCTTAAACCCAAAGGGCTTCTAGAGGTTAGGAAGTCTACATTTCAAGGTGCAAAGGGCACAGGTGCAATGTAAACCCCAACAGCGCTTAACATTACACTTAGCCCCAAACCTTCTTTCCCACTTTTCAGGGGTATGAAAGACCCCTCCAAGGGACAAAGTTATTCCCCGACATAACCCCTACATATGCATTATAAAGCCCCTGCATACCGAAGTAGTCCCTAAATAACCCCTAAGGTCCCTCATAAGGGTCCCTCCTTTAGTCCCTCGACACTTTCTTGATCCACCCGGGTCTGTACACCCTAAACCCTATAAACCCTGACTCAGAGCATCAGCTAGGACCACCAAGCCGTACACATGCGCCCACCCTAAACCCTAAACCCTTTCTTGCTTCAGGGCTCCTTTGGTAGCTTGCCTGTGACCGAGGTTGTTCAGGTGAAACCCTAAACCCTAAACCCTAAACCCTAAACCCTAAACCCTAAACCCTAAACCCTAAACCCTAAACCCTAAACCCTAAACCCTAAACCCTTAGCCGCTGCAAGCCCAGGCTCAGGCATTCCTCGCTTTGCAGGGAGCGCTGCAGCCGGCGCGCCAAGGTCTCGAAGTGGTAGCCCCAGGCCACCTCAACAGGGTTTTTTAGGGTTTTAGGGTTTGGTTTAGGGTTTAGGGTTTAGGGTTTAGGGTTTAGGGTTTAGGGTTTAGGGTTTAGGGTTTTAGGGTTTTAGGGTTTTAGGGTTTTAGGGTTTTAGGGTTTTAGGGCTTTAGGGTTTTAGGGTTCTAGGGTTCTAGGGTTCTAGGGTTCTAGGGTTTTAAGGTTCTAGGGTTCTAGGGTTCTAGGGTTTTAGGGTTTTAGGGTTTTAGGGTTTTAGGGTTTTAGGCTTTTAGGGTTTTAGGCTTTTAGGGTTTATACCTCAACAGGGGTTTTAGGGTTTTAGGGTTTTAGGGTTTTAGGGTTTTAGGGTTTGGTTTAGGGTTTAGGGTTTTAGGGTTCTAGGGTTTTAGGGTTTGGTTTTGGGGTTTAGGGTTTAGGGTTTTAGGGTTTCAGGGTTTAGGGTTTGGTTTAGGTTTTCGGGTTTTAGGGTTTTAGGGTTCTAGGGTTCTAGGGTTTTGGGGTTCTAGGGTTTTAGGGTTGTAGGGTTTTAGGGTTTTAGGGTTTTAGGGTTTTGGGGTTTTGGGGTTTTGGGGTTTTGGGGTTTTGGGGTTTTGGGGTTTTGGGGTTTTGGGGTTTTGGGGTTTTGGGGTTTTGGGTTTTGGGGTTTTGGGGTTTGGGTTTGGGGTTTTGGGGGGGTTTGGGGTTTAGGGGGTTTGTTTAGGGGGTTTAGGGGGTTTAGGGGGGGGGGTTTAGGGGGTTTAGGGGGGGGGTTAGGGGGTTTAGGGGGTTTAGGGGGTTTAGGGGGTTTAGGGGGTTTAGGGGGTTTAGGGGGTTTAGGGGGTTTAGGGGGTTTAGGTTTAGGGTTCCGGGTGTAGGGGCTTACGGGTTTAGGGGTTCAAGGCCACCTCATAAAAGGGTTTCGGGTTTGTCTGGGGGTTGTTTTTTTCTTTCGGTTTTGCCACCTGCCTAGCGGCCTCACACCACGTCTGGTCTCTGTCTGGTCTTGAACTTGATTTAGAAAAGGCGAAAAAGCGAAATCATCATGGAAACCAGACGAGACCGGACAACCAACTCCACCATAACAATACCGCTATTGGACCTACACATCTTGCTGATTTTCTAGAGGGCTTAGGGTTTTGGGCTTAAGGGTTCGGGGGGCCCCTAAAACCTCGAAAGCCCCAAACCCCTGAAACCCCTAAAGCCCCTACATTCCGCTAAAGCCCCCTCGAGCCCTGAAACCCCCAAAGCGTCTACATTCCCAAAAAAGCCCCCTAGAGCCCGAAGCCCGCACAACCCCTACAGCCCCTAAATTCCCTAAACACCCTCGAGCCTACCCTAAACCCTGCCTAAACCCTAAACCCTAAACCCTAAACCCTAAACCCTAAACCCTAAACTCGCAAAGCCCCTTAATTCCCTAAGGCCCTAAACCCGCAACCGTGCCTCCAAAGAGGCAGCGGCGGACACCTCCTCGAACCTTAGGTTAGGGTTTAGGGTTTAGGGTTTAGGGCAGAGGGTTTAGGGTTCTTTTTCCACCCGCCGAGCAGACCCGCTCTGGGGGGGTTTAGGGTTAGACTCTGCACCAAAGGCCCAGCCGCGAGCGGATGTTTCTTTTTTTTTTTTTTTTTTTAATTGGGCTTTAGCGCTGTCTTCAGCGTTGTTTACTCAAAGAAAGGTACTAGGGATGAAGGCCAGTTCATTTTGAGAACTTTGTGAACAAGGTCAGGAATTGATCATGGAAGGAGTGCCGCAGCAGGGACTTTGACCGGGCATAGTATAGGGCTGGTAGTCTTATGCTTAACCCTTGACCTTGCCTGCTGCAGGCTGCACGCTGATGTCTAGGTTGTAGGGTTTGACTCGGCGCTGTAGGGTTTAGGGTTTAGGGTTTGCCACAAATTCGCCCAAGAAGTAGGTGTCATCTTGTCGTTAGGTTCTGGGATGGGGTTGGAGGACCGCTCCACAAAGGGCATAGATCTCAAGGTTCTTCCGAACCTCTCAAGCCCAACTGCCAAGCCAAGCGACCACTTATGGGTGAAGCCCGCGAAGTAGTGGTGTGGCAAGTTATGTAGGGCTCCTTCGGGCGCGAGCACACGGAGACTTGATGCAGGCCCTAAACCCTAAACCCTAAACCCTAACCCTAAACCCTAAACCCTAAACCCTAAACCCTCAACCCTCAACCCTCAACCCTCAACCCTCAACCCTCAACCCTCAACCCTCAACCCTCAACCCTCACCCCTCAACCCTCAACCCTCAACCCTACCCTAGGGGGACCTTGGGGTTGAACCCCAACATCGCTCGCAGCTCGGGTTCCGTGTCGGTCTAGGGGTTACCACCACACTAAGTCCCGACTTCGCGAACTCCTCGCCCTTTTACCCTAAACCCTAAACCCTAAACCCTAAACCCTAAACCCTAAACCCGAAACCCTAAACCCTAAACCCTAAACCCATCCCATGCTTCTGTGGCCAATCCTCCGAACGGCACCTGGAGAAGCACCATGCCACCTTGACAGTGCGAAGTCTAGGCTCAAGACTGGGCTGCTTCACTGTGAAGGTCTCTTCTTAGTTGTCCAGTACCTAGGGGTTTTAAAGGTTAACCTTTGGGAATATAAGGGGAATATATTAACCCAAAAAGGTTAAAGGTTAGCTACTCTACTACTAAGTCTTATTTGCGGCGTATGTCCCCCACCCCTGTGTAGACAAGTGATGATGTCGTGTACCTTCACCCGGAAACCTGCGACCGAAGCTAACAAGCATTGAATTCTAAACCCATTTTTGACCCCTGGAACTATGCCTGAATTCTAAACCCTAAACCCTAAACCCTAAACTCTAAACCCTAAACCCTCGGGCCTGGCTTCAGAAGCCGGCCCATCTCGTGCATCGCCTTAGCACATGCCATCTTCCATGGAGGCGCGACAGCCACCAGCTTGCAGCAACGAAGGGGCAAGTAGCCAGAATGCAACATGTGCTTGTGGAAGTAGAGCAGTAGAGCTACATCCAGCCTTGTGCATTTGGGCTGCACCTGGTCGATTCCGCTACTTCTGAGCCCGGCGACCCTCTTCGGATTCAGCACGTGCTCGAGCACATCCGTGCAGATAACCAAGTCGAATGATTCATCGGGCAACCTAAGATGACATCGCTGTGAGGGCTTGGTGGGCGCGTCTTGAGGAGGTCTCAACGTAGCTTTCAGGTTCTTGGTACAGTGTGCCTTGCTTAGGGGTTGAGGGGTCCCGGAGCGGCTAGAGGAGCTTCGATGCCAGGCGAGCTAGCTGCTAGCTGGCGGCCACCAAACATTGAGAAGCCGAAGTCATGATTCTATGCAGTCAGGCTCCGGTGTTAGGTGTCAGTTCGAGCGGCGGTATGTTCCCAATGTCAGAAACGATATCGATGTTGGCGTAGCCTTGCCTGAGAAGGGTTCACGAGCTTCTGCAGCTCGAAGGCATGAGTGTTCCGGAACATGGGGGTTAGCCCGAAACCCTTAACCCTGGGCCTAAATACTAAAAACCCTAAACCCTTGACTGCTCTCAAATGCAATACTCACACCAGCCAGCCTCGGCTTGCCAAGAATAACGCACACACACACACAGACAGACACAGAGACAAAAAACTCGGAGAGTGGTCCGGCAGTGGTGTTTCCTGACTTCTACGGCTAGAGGATGCTGAGACACGTGCAAACACCGCCGTGTTTGGATGAACCCCGTCTCTCAGATAGGCGGGGGAGGGGGGGGGGGGGAATGATGCTGGGGACCTGGAACCTATGCCTGGCATGGGCTGCGCAGCAAAGACACGGGGGTTTACGAACATAGGGGGCCCCCAATAGAGACCCCCAAGTACTCGGATTGCCCTTAAAATAAGGACCCCAATACTTCTTTCTTCTTTAACTCCCCAATACAAGTTTAACTTCTAGCCCCCTTAAATATGAAAATAGATGAACCCCCAAAACTAACAAAGTGCTAAAGATGTAGTTAAGTCCCACCTAGAATAAGGTACTCCGAATTTCGGAAACCCCCCACATTGCGACAGGTTGCAGAAACACCGATCCGGCGATGCCTTCGGTGCCGTTGTAGTGCATGGCGTCCTTTATTTCGCTGGTGATGGAAATGTCTTGTGGGGTTTAGGGTTTAGGGTTTAGTGGGTTCTTCGTGCGAACTCATCGGCTTCTGCAGCCGACGTGTTGTGGAAGTTTGCTGAATCCTACCGAAGGCTCCGTTTTGCTGGCGACATCTGCGCAGGCTGCGTGCATGCCATGCCTCCTACTTCTTGGGCTTTCCGGTGGCACCCCTATGGACTAAGTCTGTCGACTTGCCGACGACCTACTTCGCGGCAGGTCCTGTACATGGTGAAGGGAGGGAGGTCATGGGAATTCTGGAAAAGCTGTACACGGTTTCGAAAGAAAAGCATGCCACATGGCCCAGATAAGAGCGCAAGTGGCGTATGGGAGCTGACTGTACACATGAAAGCAAAGAACTGGATCAGACATGAAGGCTCCTAGCTGCCACTTTCGATGGGCAAGCCGCCTGGCCAAGAGCGCTGGCGTCCCAAGTCAAGCTGTGCATTTTGCACTGCACCGGCGCCCAAACTGGCGCCCTAACTGGTGCGAGGTGCTAAAGAACTGATAGCTACATGACGCTTGAGGGGGACGTCCATGAAGCCTCACGCCACAGCAATAGAGCTCGGCGCGCTGGCAGGCATGACCGTCCGGCAGCGTCTCTCTCTCCGGAGATCAACATACACTTCGTCATGGGCCTCCCTCTCCACCTCCACCTTGGTAGCCCAGCAACCAGATTATCATGAGGGTATCCTTTTTGGGGTTGCTCACTTTATGAGGGAACCTAGAACCCAAAAAAAGCAGAAGGGTACCACTGGGCTACCAAGCCACAAAGGTGTTTCGCACCTGGACCTTCTGCTGAGGAGCCGCATCGGCGCTGAGGCGTGCCTGTTCTGTGGCTTCCAATTCTTCGCTTCTCTCGATGGTTCTCCGTCTTGTCATTACTATATTAGGGTTTAGGGTTTAGGGTAAAAGCAGCAAGAGTCAAGAAGAGTCATACATAGTCGTACAAGCCTGGAGAGGCACCCTGTCAGAGCTGGCTTGCTTCGTGCCGTGACGTGCCCAATGACGGGCCAGCACCGTAGCAACAGGACAGTAACAACCGCAGTTCAGGGTGATCCTCCCCCCCTACATAAGGGGCGGCACCCTTCTCCTGAGAACCCTAAGACTAATCCCCCTCCCCCACACATCCATGGGCTCCTCCAGCGAGGTGAAGTCGACCTCGTGGCAGAAGCGAGCCGCGCCCGCCTCGCCCAGTCCTGGCGCCTGCGCACCCCCGTTCGCGCGGCGGTACGCGGTCTTCTGCAGCAGGTACGCATCTCGCATGCGGTCTTCGATCCGGGCCCAGTCTTCCTTGGAGGTTTTACTTCTCGTAGACTTAGAAAGGCAGTGAACTTAAAATCTACACGCGCTTGTTGTTGTAGGTCTGGCAAGTAAACACTGGCCAAGCTTCCCGTGCCACGACGCATTGGAAATACAAAAGCTCTTGACCATCCAAGGTCTGATAGAAGCTCACATCGTGTTCGCCGATGCGTTCCGTAAAGAGCTGCAGGTACTCGGAGAGGTAAAACCCGTGGCTGCCCACCAGGGCAGGATCGTAGCGGACCCAATTTGTAAGCCCCATGCTTTGACCTGCGTCGATCCTGGTGACATGGTCCCCTTGGCCGGAATGCACTGGGAGGAGAGGGTATCCGCGCTTGAAGCTCTGCATCGAAAGCACAACATAGAATTCCTGATCCAACTGGCCTCAGTAGCCCAGTAAGCAGACCCTGTTTTGGGTTGGCTACTTTATAATGAGTCCATAACCAAAAAGGGTTTAAACGGTACCACTGGGCTACTAAGTGGCGGATCTGATGAATGCCGGGGCGATTCAGGTAGTACTGTACAACTTTACTCCCTGACTCCATGGCTTCGTGGAATTGTGCAGCAGCCCACTTGGACAGGTTGAGTCCCAAAGGCACTCGGAAGATATGGTACACGTCACACCAACCTGGTTCTGAATGAGGGCGGCAGAAGTTCACGGCTTCGAAGGGCTCGGAAAGACTGGTGAGGGTCCTGTGGTCGTGGCAGAAGGTCACATCAACCAACTCCCCTCTCTTTCATATCGGACACCCAAGCTTAAAAAGACACAAAACAGGTGCTGCCCCGAACATGCGAGGGACTGGGCGCAGTCGCCAGTTTGCGGGTAGTTGCGCCGGGTGCGCACGCGCAGCTCCACGGCCGACGCAGGATCATAGAAATGGTTCTGCACAAGCTCCGTGCCGATGTCGCCCAGCAGCACCGCGAAGATGCGCAAGATTTTGAATGATGCCCACCTGTGCACCACTGCATCTCCTGGTGCCTGGTCTTCGTTTGGAGTTTGGAGTGCAGGCTCTGGCTTCTTGGGCTACTGCTTTGCGACCAAGTGGTACTGACAAAAGAAAAGCAAAACTCTCTGCATCGAATCTCTCTCTCTCTCTCTCTCTCGCTCCCTCTCCCTCCTGAAACTTTGGAAAGAACTTTTCCCCAAGGTACAAACTGCTTCTGCACGGCGAAGTACTCGGGGCTCGTCTCCGAAAACTTGCTGGCACCCCAGGCCCGCGACTCTGGCCGGACAAGGATATGCGCTGGGTCCTCAGGCGGGTCGGTCACCTTCACGCGCAGCACAGCCAGCTTCACCAAACTTCCGCCCCAAGGGCATTTGCAATGAGAGAAGGAGACCGCCTGTCCCTCAGCGATGCTTTGCCAACCAGCTTGGGAAAGCAAATGAGGAACTAGGTAGCACCACTCCTCGATATTTTCGGGATGTGCCGCCATGACTGCCCAAATCAACGAGTTCAGAGGTCGTACTTTGCCTGCTGAGCTTGGACCACTCAATGCATGGGCCGTGCTTGTGAATATTGCGCTTGCCGCTACTTCACATCTGGCGCAAGTGCAGGAGCCGCATCCGTCAGCGGGTCCCCCTACCCTACCCCCTATACCTCCCACTCCCCTACCCCCAGACGGTCCTGAGACGTGTAGTTGAACCCAAGACCATGCATCGCTGGCTTGCAAGGAGCTGTCCCTGCGCCAACGTCCAGCACCTCTGGGAGGCAAATGACACGACGCAACAGGACATGGGATGGCAAGAGGCGGCATGAGACAGCATATCCATACATAGAAAACTCATACAATAGGGTTTAGGGTTTAGGGGCTTAGGGTTTAGGGTTTAATACAAGTGGAGGCCAAACTGTGGCTTGAACAGGCTTTGCGGTCTCTTGCATGTGCCTGCAAAGCTCTTGACCTCCAAACCAACCTAATTTGGCTTCACTCCATCGGCCTACGAGCGGCTTTTTTTGGTGACTGTTGGGTGCCCTCGCCTGCGACTCCTTGGGGAAGGCCTCCACAGCCCTGGCGATCTGGCGGCACTTGAGCGGGCCGGTGTAGTGCAGGTCCTGTGGAGCTCAACCGGGCAACGATCCAGTATTGAGATGCCCCAGAGACAGCCGCGGCCGGCTGCAGCTCTCCCGACCAACTCTCTCCTCTCTCTGCCCATGCGTGCTAGAAGTGGTGCTCTCTAAAGGCCTCCGGATGCATCCGATGAAGCAGGAAGTCCCGCTGCTCCGGCCGCAGCTGCTCTGTGCCTTGACTCGATCTGCCCCCAAGCTAAGTTTGGGGTTCTCTTCTTCAGGAAATTGGAAGCAAGCAGGCTGCAATCGCACAATTTTCTTCCAACGGAACCACCTTCCGGAGCCCTTGAATACCATGCGCGTCGCACCCTGCATCACACAACCACTTAGCCCTGCGCAGAGGCACGGAGGAAAGCATGCAGCATGCAGATGCCTTTAAGGCAAGTCCTGACACGCCAAAGCCTGAACCCCAACTTCAACTTAAACAACACAAAAACCCTGAACCCTAAACCCTGAACCCTAAACCCTTTCTTGCCTCCGGACCCGACACCCGAAACCCTAAACCCTAACACCACTGGCCTGGTCCGCCGATCTTGCTCTTCCGCGGGAAGCAGGTGTCGTGCGTCTGGCCATGTGCGCTGCAAGACCCCAAGTGACTGTCAAGACAACCAGGGTTTAGGGTTTAGGGTTTAAGGGTTTAAGGAGTGAATTCAAAGATCAAAAACATACGAATCTGTACCCCGCAGAATGCTCTGTCTACACAAAGAACTCTTTGCTCATGTGGGCTAGTACATGATTGGACGCTGCGAGGTCTCAATACAGGGGTCGGAAAGAACTACTCATAGTATTCCCTCCGGGTCCCTATATAATTATACTAGTTGTTCAGGCCCCTATGTTTCCAGTCTACATGTGTTCTGGCCCTGTCGCAGCTTCTGTTGTAGCACGCATGTTCTGTTCAGAGGGCTCCCCCCAAAGCCTACTGGAAGGTTCATGGGTAGTTATAAGTGGATTTTTAAGTACCTTAAATAAGGTTGTCACCACTTAGAAGTTTCGTTGCCCTACATGTAAGCCAACGTATACCCACCCATGAACCTCCAAGTAAACCCTATAAACCCTATAAACCCTATGAGTCCCTATAAAACCCCATAAAGCCCTATAAACCCTGTAAACCCTATAAACCCTATAAACTCTATAATAGGGTTTTGAACCTCCAAGTAAACCCCTCCTGGGAACCGAAGCCTGGTGGCAGCCCGGTTGGGTGGGGCAGAAGTAATCTCCGGTGCCGTAGGCATCACAGCAGCCGTAATCCTCCTCAGCTGTGCTTCATGTGGAAACAACCCTAAACCCTACACCCTAAACCCTAAACCTTCTAGGGTTCAGAGGTTTAGGGTGTTGGGTCGAATCCAAAACAGTGAGCTCTGAGATTCAACCCTGAGCCCTAAACCATGTTTTCGGTGTACTGGGTGGCTTCAATATGGAGGCCTAGCCGGCCGAAGCTATAGGCTTCAGAGTGAAAGGTTCACGGCTCAACTGCTATGGTCCTCTACTTGGAGGTTCAGGGCACTTATCACCCCCAATTAGAACTGCACTTATAAGCCCCTAAGTCCCCTGCGCTGGTTAGAAGTAGACTGATAATTTGGATTATGAGTACGAATGAACCTTCAAGTACACCCCTTCCGTATTCAGTCTCGGCACGATACATGCCGAAAGCGAGGCCCAGGGCACATGAGTAGGTATGGTTTAGGGTTTAGGTTTAGGGTTTAGGGTTTTAGCGTTTAGGCCTATTAAGGTTTGCGACACGACTCTTTCCCTTTGGAAATCACCCTCCCAAAGCCCTTTTTTCACAAGGGACTCGACTGCTGCCCTTTCTGCCCAGCCCGCCCCCACACCACAGTGCCTATGACTGCAGGGCGAGAGTCGCCACTTCGCGGCACCAAGCTTCAGGCACAACTTGATAGGACACTACTCTCTGGAATGCTTTGTATAGCTTGACAGTGACATCATAGAGGGTATGCTCAAAGATCTCAAAAGCAGTATGCGCGAAGAGAACTTGGAAAGACAGCCAGGTGTCCACATATCTGAGATGACAAATGACGAAGTGCAAAACGGAGTAAAGGTCCTCATGCCGTGCAAATGTCAGACTTTGCCAGCCGTCCGTGACATCCAGCCACACCACAGCCCAAGAATCCGAACGCAGCAGCACGAAGAGACTCAACCCCCAGTGGCACTCATGAGTTACAGCATGCTGCCATCTCAGCCAATCAGTAGTAGGCTTCGCATAGTGCGGGGGCAACCAGTAGAGCTCAACTATTCTTGACCCATGATTGGACCAAAGCTCCCTATTTGATGCGAGGTCTCGTAGTTCAGACCAACTTGGACCTTCAGACGAGGCACACAGTCTTGTAGCACGCACAACATGATGTATCCACTGGAAGAGCATGTTTCTGGGCCCAGGTCTTACCTGACGCCACCTACCAAGCACTCCTTGCTGCAACGCAATGGACGGCATGGAGTCCTCTCGCATTCTTAGCACATGACCCACATAGTTCCACTTTCGCTGTATCCAAGCTTGAGTCACTGCAGCCCTACCATCAAGATGATGCAAGAGAGCCGCCGTGCGTCGACGCAAGAGATTGAGAGGCAGGGCCGAATTGGAGTCCAGCCAGGCCGGAATGTACAGTTTGAGGACAGCTATAGCAGCGTCGTTCTGAAGCTTCGATATACTGTCAATATGCTTCTGTTTGGGTGAAAGGAGAGGCGAAATCCATAACCACTTTGCATGGATATACTTGTGCAAAATGTTGAGGCACGCAATGCTTTGATTCCAATTGAGCTTGCGAGTGATCGAAGCAAGTTGTTCTAACCCTTGAAAGACAGCACGCCTGCAGAAACCCACCAGGGCATCGTTCAAGTCTTCTGCTTGAGGGCTCAGGGCGTCAAAGTGCGACACAGTCTTTCGTAGATATTTGGCCTCGCTAGCCCACTTGCACTGCCGTAGCGGAGAGTCCTCAGGGACGGAGTGACCTCCTTCTGCCAAGAGCGAAGGAGTCGAAAACACAACTGTCTTGTCTAAATTGAGATGAAGGCCCGCAGCTGACAGTTGATGACAGAGAAAAGAGAAAGCATCATGCGCCTGTTCCCAGCCACCATATATAACCAGACAGTCATCAACAAATAACCAACCTGGCACTCCATGTAAGTTGCTTGTGCTACGGTCCTGGAATATACCTGAAACAACTGCATCGAAGTAGTGCGAGAAAACCGTAGAGGAGTGACTCCCCCCCTGTTGGACTCCTATGTTTGCCGCCAGCTGCCAACTGCGTCCCTCAAACTCAAAGTTTAAAGTGGGGTGCAGCAGCATGTGACAAAGTCTCAGCGCTTCAGGAGCGTGACTTGCCGGGGTCACATCTATGATGTGCTGAAGAAGATGCTGATATCGCACGCTGTCAAAAGCTTTTTTAATGTCCAGGCTGACGTAGATGCATGGGGCACCCTGCAGGGACTCACGCTCCAGGAACGAGTGGACACCCAGAAGCGCATGGAGCACTTGGCCACCAGGTAGCCCACCGTACTGGTGTTTCGGCGGGGGCCAAACATCCAAAAGTCTGGAGACAAGCAGTTTGCAGAACAACTTGTGCATGGTTTCTAGCATGCAAATAGGTCGGAGATCACTAGGACCACAAACTTGTTGGAGTTTGGGCACGAGAGCCACCATGCATTGCTTGAAATTCTGCATGTCATCAGAACCATGATGTAAAAGTGCCGTCAGGAAGTGTTGCAGAATATCAATACCCTCGTCAGTTTGGATGAGGCTTCTGAGAAATTCATTGCTCATGCCAGTGGGCCCGGCAGTCTTGTTTAGTTTGAGGGCATGCACCGCAGACCGAATCTCATCCTGTGTGAAAGGCACGCAATTAGTACGCAAACACCTCTTGACTGCTTCATCGTCTTCGTTCTCACTCGGTTGTGAGAACACCTGCGAAAAGTGATCTTTGACCTCCGTCGCAGCGGCTTGGGCACCACCCACTCGAGCAACAAACGATTTTGTGGAAGGTCTGGGATTTTGCTTCTTGCGGACATAGTCAATGGCACCGAAATCTCCCGACGCAGCTTGAGACTCAAGCTTGCTCCACCAGTGAAGTCTGGCGAGGTGTCTTTGTGTCAGTATCTCCTTCGTCAGCCGACTACGCTCCTGTACCTCACCACAACTCCTACGTTGTTTACAGAGGTCCTTGACGAAAGGTGGATCCACATACTTACAACTTCTTCGGGGAACAGAAACCTGTCGAGACATAGCACATAACGCCTCCCACTGTTGAGAGGGGCTGTATTGCTGCACAAAGACATCTCGCTGAGCCGCAGCAAGCTGGGCGACATGTGCTGCGTCAACCACCCATTTCCGGCAAGGTCTTCTGTGCCAGGTCTGCG